ACCCCACTCGAAGCCGAAGCGAAAGCACTTTTAGAAGGTCTCAAATTAGCCCAAGAATATGGCACGGAATGTGTTGTCCAGTCAGACTGCCAGCGAATTGTCAAAGCTCTCTCGGACGAGCCAAGAAATTGGCCTTGGCGAGGGGTAGCCTGGATTGGTTCAATGGTCTCAATCTTAAGAACGAACCCTCATGTGAAGGTCAAGGCAATTTCATGTGCTTTTAATGTTAGAGCTGATTGGGTTGCACGATTACTTGCTAGATCCTCCCTCCCTGTTGACTGGATTAGTATTCTTGACCTAATTTCGGATTTCCTTTGATAAAGTGTATTCTCGCTTTTTTTGTTTTTTCGAGATGGAAGTGGAATAAAAGTCGGACGTTATTGTAAAAAAAAAAAATGGCTTGATTGCAAGTTTGGTCACTCGAATTGCTACAAAATTTCACGTTTGCCACTCAAATTAATTTATTCCATTTATAGTCACTTAAATTAGGTTAACAGTCCAAGTTTGGTCACTGGCCGTTAGTCTCCGTTAACTTTTGCTGATGTGACGGTCAACTCTTATAGTTGACCGTTAAATGCATGAGGTGGAAATTAAAAAATTAAAAAATTAAATTTTGGCCCAATTTTTCACTTTTGTTTAAACCAACCACTTTACCAAAAACAACAAAAATAGGTTTTTGTTTTATTATTTGGATTAAAATCAATCACTCCCTTTTTCTCTGTACACGAGCTCCTTCCTTCCCTTTTCTTATTCACTCTTCTGTTGCTCGCCATTGTTGGCCACCTGATAAGCTATTTTTGTTTATTAAACCTTTTCGTTTGGGGAAGTATTGTCGGCTCGCCTGCTGCTAGCTTGTGCATTTTCTGTTTGGCCTCCGAGAAATCTTTCCCCGTGTTTCCCTGAACCTACTCGTAACATCAGAAGCTACAAAATGAACAAGCACTTAACACAATCCTCTCTCTATCCCTCTCTAGATCCATCTCGCTTTGAAACCCCCTCCAGGCAATGGTGATCCGCGAAGAGAAACCCCAATTGTTTCGCAGATCTCCCCTCCTAATAGCCATTGTCTTTGAAATTCTTCTCGGTTGCATTTTCGCCATCTTGTATCATCAAGGATTCTCAGTCCTGATCCGGCCATTGCGACGGCTAGTCGAACTGCCGAATCATATCTCCAGGTTCGCAACTCTCTGCCCTAATGCAGTCGACTGCAAGTCTCGCCTTCCACTGTTACTCTGTTTCCCCCTCAGTGGCGCTCTTAAATTCGGGCTCTTTCTATTCTAATTAAGCGTCTTCTGCTGCGGAGTTGACTTTTTTTTCTGTCTTTGAGCTTTGAATCCAAGAAGCAATTGCTCGCCGGCGAGTTGGTCTTCTCCAATTGCTTCTTCCTTCCGTTCCTCCATCTTGGCGCATCAATGGCGAGGTTTTCGATTCTGGCTCTGTGGCTTTTTTTATCCAATTCCCCACCCGGAACGTCGACGGAAGTTCCCCGGAAAGACATCTAAAGCCGGAGAAATTCCTGGAGAATAAATCGGATTACACGCAGAAGAAAAGAAACTAAATTAAATTTATTTTTATTTTTTAATGAATGTAGAAATGAGTTGGAAATTTTAAATAATTAATTTTTTTTTTATTTTTTAATGGCCACGTCACACATTTAACGGTCAACTATTAAAGTTGACTGCCACGTCAGCTAAAGTTAACGGAGACTAACGGAGAGTGACCAAACTTGGACTGTTAACCTAATTTAAGTGACTATAAATGGAATAAATTAATTTGAGTGGCAAACATGAAATTTTGTAGCAATTCGAGTGACCAAACTTGCAATTAAGCCAAAAAAAAATATACCAAGCACGGGCCGGTTGTCAAACTTGCCCATCACGGCATTATAAATCTGCCAGGCCGGGTGACGTGACGCCGACTAGGATTGGATCCCAATTAAATTAAGAGAAAAGAGAAAAATTAGGCTTTGACGGGAACTAATCTGGACCGTTTGAGATAGATCAATCCAACGGCTGTAACAGAAACCCTAATTCAACCCAAGGCTTTAGGTCTTGACACTTAGACTACTTAACCCGAGGAAAGGCTCCTCTTCACCGTCCTCTTTCGCTTGCTCTTTCACTCTCTGCTCTTTGATACTGCGACTGCGGGAGAGCACACCTCACTCCAACACAGCCCGTCGTTGTTACAGGTTCGCTTCCTTTAGCTCCTCTTTGTTTTTCTTATTGCCGTTCTTTTTATGTGTTAATTCTGTTAGCTGGTAGATTCATCTATATTTCTCTGTTCCCAATCGTTTTCGTTCGTGAGCGTATCTCGTTATGTGGATCTAGGCGATGGATTTAGGTTTTCGATCTGTTTGTTTGTGCTACTCTTGCAGCTGCTCTTATCTCGATTCGTTGTCAATTTTTGTTTAGGGTTCCGATGTTTATTTTTTGGTTAACGAAGCTATGATTTCTGTTTTATACATAATAATAAAGTTACGCATCGGTGTGCTTGAATCTATGTCTTACGCATCTTTGGTAGTGGTTGTGAAAGAGATGCGTGGATTAGATCTGCACACGGTTTTCTGAGTCTATTCAGTGGCTGTAGTTTATTGGTAAATCCCACACTTCGCTGTGGAGACCTGGGCTCGAATCCCAGCAGCCACTTTATGCATTTCAATCTCTGTGGATGGTTTGAATCTACTTTCGATCATGGTTAAATGCTATTTTGGATTTTGGTACCTTTAAGCGAGTATCTCCACTTTGTAGAATCTATAGCAAGCAGATCTTTTGCCACTGTCCAAGTTTCAATATGGGTCTATAATCATCTACTGTGTGGTCTAATCTGTTTCTGCTTTTGATTGGTTTCAGCTTCTTTACCATACTTCAACATGGGTAAGGAAAAGGTCCACATCAACATCGTGGTCATTGGCCATGTCGACTCTGGGAAGTCAACCACCACTGGTCACTTGATCTACAAGCTTGGAGGTATTGACAAGCGTGTGATTGAGAGGTTTGAGAAGGAAGCTGCCGAGATGAACAAAAGGTCATTCAAGTACGCCTGGGTGCTTGACAAGCTCAAGGCTGAGCGTGAGCGTGGTATCACCATTGATATTGCTCTCTGGAAATTTGAGACCACCAAGTACTACTGCACGGTCATTGATGCCCCTGGACATCGTGATTTCATTAAGAACATGATTACTGGTACCTCCCAGGCTGATTGTGCTGTCCTCATCATCGACTCCACCACTGGTGGTTTTGAAGCTGGTATCTCTAAGGATGGCCAGACCCGTGAGCATGCTCTTCTTGCTTTCACCCTTGGTGTCAAGCAAATGATTTGCTGCTGCAACAAGGTAACAAATTAATTAGCTGTTGAGATATTAAATAGATTTGTCAATTATGGCTGTATGCTTATGGATGCTTTCTCTTTTATAGATGGATGCCACTACCCCGAAGTACTCAAAGGCTAGGTATGATGAAATTGTAAAGGAAGTTTCTTCTTACTTGAAGAAGGTTGGGTACAACCCTGACAAGGTCCCATTCGTTCCAATCTCTGGTTTTGAGGGTGACAACATGATTGAGAGGTCCACCAACCTTGACTGGTACAAGGGCCCTACTCTTCTTGACGCCCTTGACAACATCAACGAGCCCAAGAGGCCAACAGACAAGCCCCTCCGTCTCCCACTTCAGGATGTGTACAAGATTGGTGGTATTGGAACTGTGCCAGTGGGCAGGGTTGAGACTGGTGTGATCAAGCCAGGTATGGTTGTAACCTTTGGTCCTACTGGTCTGACCACTGAGGTAAAGTCTGTGGAGATGCACCATGAAGCTCTCCAGGAGGCTCTGCCCGGTGACAACGTTGGGTTCAACGTGAAGAATGTTGCTGTGAAGGATCTCAAGCGTGGTTTTGTTGCATCCAACTCCAAAGATGACCCAGCCAAGGAGGCTGCCAACTTCACATCCCAGGTCATCATCATGAACCACCCGGGGCAGATTGGAAACGGTTATGCCCCAGTGCTGGATTGCCACACCTCCCACATTGCTGTCAAGTTCTCTGAGATCCTGACCAAGATTGACAGGCGATCTGGCAAGGAGATTGAGAAGGAGCCCAAGTTTTTGAAGAATGGTGATGCTGGGTTCGTGAAGATGATTCCCACCAAGCCCATGGTTGTGGAGACATTCTCTGAGTACCCGCCTCTTGGAAGGTTTGCCGTGAGAGACATGAGGCAGACTGTTGCTGTTGGTGTGATCAAGGCTGTGGAGAAGAAGGACCCAACTGGCGCCAAGGTCACCAAGGCTGCTGCTAAGAAGAAGTGAGATGTTTTGTGAGTTGCAGAGTACTCTCTGTTTCTGTCGTACGTTTCCTAGACAGTTGGTTTTTGCATTGGATGTTGAAGCAGTTTTGTGAACGGGTTACAATTTCGGATTATGGTTTTGTTTTGATGGTTGTCAAGGCATTTTCGGGTATCAACTGTGCTTTGTTCGTGCTTTCTGATGTGTGCTTTGTAGTAGTTGATGAGTGGATCTTTATGTATAATAATCCGATCAAGATCTAGACTAAGTGGTTTGGTGCCATAGAGAGAATAGAATGCCGCCTGTACTCGTTCCTGTTAGGTTAATTGGTACAGGTGTTTAGCTCGTGGCATTCTACTCATTGGATTGCTGATTGTTGATACCGCAAAACTGTGACTCGATAATAATTCGTCTTGCGAACCTTGGAAATAAAAGTTGCCGGTTCCGTAGTAATTTAAGTCATTGTGGTCTTTTTCTAATCATCGCAAGTAGGGGTGGCAATGGTAGGGTCGGGTGCGGGTTAACCCTATATCAACTCCTAATCCTGGGTAGAGCTTTCTAAAATATCCGATCAAATAACCACCGGGTATGAAAATTATATAACCATACCCTACCCATCGGGTAACCACGAGTATTCGGGTAACCATGGGTATAAATCCTAAACTATGAACTTATACACATAGGGTTAATTGCATGGTTGGTCACTGAGATTACAAAAAACGTTCACGTTCTCGCTGAGTCCTCTCCGACGATGAACAACGGTACACCGGCGCCCGCGCGATCTCCCAATTCCCACAGTTTGACCTTTTCTTCTGAATCGTTTAACATTTTTTTTTGTTTGACTATTTCTACCAGCAGAAGGCGGCAACACGAAGGTCGTCCTGACACGAGCACTCGCGGCGTCGTCCCTTGTGTTCATCGCCGGGGCCGCCGCTGGGTACTACCGGCGGATGCCGAGAGCCAGCAGCAAGCGAGTCGTCCCGAGGCTGGACGATGCAAGGACGGAGTCCGGCAGCGGCAGAAAGGTGGAGAGGTTCTCGCACTACGTGGCGAGGCAGCTAGGGTTCTCAGATCCGAGCGAGTGCCAGCAGCTGTGCAAGCTGGCGTACGACTACCTGAGGAAAATCGACGGTTGCGAGGACAACATCTACGATTATTTTGCAAGATCCGAAGGCGGCAGCGAGCTGGAGAAATTGCTGTCCGGGAAGCTGGTGGAGGAGCTCGAGAAATGCATTTTGAGCTACTTTGCTTTCCACTGGAACCACGCCCCTTCCCTAGTCTCTCAGGTAGGTTTCCAAATTCAATTTACTCCCTGTAGATTTCAAAATTTCTCGGAGAGCTTCTAGTTTTGTTTTCCGATTTTGTTGAACTAATTCTTTGTTCAATTTTTTTTCCTTCTTCTTTTGTTAATTAGGTGATGAAAGATCAATCGCAGAAGAAGCCGAAGCTCAAAAGCGCTATAATGGCTGCCACAAGGTAGACGCTGCGACAAAATTTTTTCTTTTGTTTTTTAATTAATGTAATAATGAGGTGGAAAATGTAAAAGATTATTTTTTTAATAATTTTTAATTGCCACATCACATATTTAACGGTCAACTATGAAAGTTGACTGCCACGTAAGCTAGAGTTAACGGAAATGGACGGAGAGTGACCAAACTTGAACGATTTAAATAATTTGAGTGACCAAGATTGGATTTAAATATTTCCAGTGACCAAACGTGAACGTTTTTTGTAATCTCAGTGACCAACCATGCAATTAACCCTATACACATATATGCACAAACATACTCTTGTCCATTAAAAATTCTCAATACTTGTAACTGTTATAGCTTCAACAATCCTCAAAAATAAAAACAGCAAACACATAATAATTGTTCTTGCTTCTACAATCCACACAAACATAATAATCGTCTACATCTTCATCATCAATAATGGTAGCTAAACTCAATTTCTCAAGCTAAAATAAATTTCTCAAGGGAAATTGACCTTTTGGTTAGCGGGGCGGGTATTATCGATTACCATACCATTACCCTACCCTTTATTTTGAAACCGGTCATTACCCGTACCCGTCCCTTAACCCGTCAAAGCGGGTAATTACCCTCGTTGACCGGTTACAGTCGGGTAGGATACCCATGGTTACGGGTTGGATTGACATCCCTAATCGCAAGTCATTATGTAATTTCACTGGGCTTCCCTCCTTGTAGCCTGTAGGTGCAGGCAAGGCCTAGGGATGGCAGTTCAACCCGGACCTGCGGGTACCCGACCCGACCCAACCCGATCAAAACGGATAAAATCCGTATTGACCGGGTTCGGACCGGGTTCGAGTATAAACCCGATGGCTGGTTGGACGGATTGGGGCGGGTTCGGGTTTGGGGAACCCGACCCGTGGATACCCAGACATACATCTAACCCTAAATTACCCCCGTCCCCAGCCCACTTCCCACTTCCCAGAGACACAAATCACACAATTCCCACTTCCCCAGAGACACAATTCACAAACCCATCGCCGCCGCTCTTCCTCTCTTCCTCTCCGCTCTTCCTCTTCCTCTCCACGACTCCTCTTCTCCACCTCCCGTCCCGACTTCCGACTCCCAATCCGACGGGTGACGGGCGACGGCCGCCCCGCCACCACCAAAACCCTCTCCCGAGTTTCCGCCTCCATTCCCGACGGGCCCTCCCCCTGCTCTTCCTTGTGTTTGAACGTTGAAAACTACTGTTGTAAGGTTATTCAAGAACACATTGCTGCAAATCTCGTATGTACTTTTATGATGGCTGCTGAGATCATGGCTCAATTTTATTTAGTTTACCGTGGCGTAAGATGTGCTGCACTTTCGTTTCTCTTGATGTGATCCCTATTTGATATTGATGTTCTGCACTGAGAGTTTAGTACAGTGGTCTCCACTTGGAACCTACCTCGCCACATTTCACAGGCGAGGAGCAGCTTGGGTGGCGAATTTTCAACTGATAAGTTAAATTTTTACTTCCAAAGGGTGTAAGAAATACTTTTGATTTAGGAACCGGGAAGGTAGTGCTGACGAATTTGCAGTTGGAGGAGTTGGTGGTGTAACTGGTGTTTCATGGCCTGTTTTCCAGTAGTTTCTCCTCTGCAATCTGTATGTTTTCTGCTACTTTCCTGTATTTGTGATCATTCTGGAAAACAACCTATCAGATGCCTTGAGTACTGTAAAGGAAGAAGAGGTTGCCAAGAACAAGAAGTACAACAAGAAGTGCAAGGCGGAGGATCAGGATGTGTCGCTGCAGTTGAGCGAGCAAGACAGAGAGAAGAGATGGCTGTTGAAGATTGGATGGGAAGAATGAGTGAGCAGATGGAAGCTGTTGCACAAAAAATAGAAATTTGGGAGTAGTTTTATTTTAGAAGTTTGTTTGTCTGCACTTTTAGTCCTGTGGAATTTAAGCTGCACAAATGGTCATCTAGTTACTGAATACTTTAGTTACTTAATCATCAAGATTTGTTTTGTTTAGGTGCTTGATATGTATGGTGAGATTTATGCTTGATTTTTATTTTGGTAGTTTCTTGTTAATTATTATTTTATAAATATTTTACCAAAAAAATCCACGGGTACCCATCAACCAGCGGATACCCAGCGGATTGGGTTGGGTTTGAGTTTTTCAAACCCAACGGGTTTTACCCCGGGTTTTTTTTACGGACAAACCCATGGATTTGAGTTCGGGTTTGACAAAATCCACCCCAACCCGATCCATTGCCATCCCTGTCAAGGCCAATAGCAGAACACTTGTATGTACTAATAATAACACAATAATAATTAGAAAAGAAGATTTGTTTACCAAAAAGTATATACAAGTTGATGGGTTGGGTTCCATCCATACCAACAACTATATTTGGTGCAGAAAGCAATATTTTTTTCTTAGTTTCCTTTCACCCGAAGCGACAAACCACAGAAAGCAATGCCCCCACCCAATCAAAATCAATACGCAGAGATTCAACCACAACAAATACCCATCCATATTTCTCCATTTCCTAGGGGTTTGAGTTCCCAAGTTGCCATCATTCAGCAGCAGGTAGCATATCATCCCCAAGGCTACTGTTAGTCGTATTAATTGAACACCCCGCCCGCAATCACACGCCTCTCCGATTGCCACAGACAGAGACTGACAGAGGCCGATTCCCTTCCCCGTTATTCTTCTTCTTCTTCTTCCTCCTCCCCTCCTACATCTGTCTTCCAACAGCTCCATTTATCTGCGAATGGGTTCTTTAGAAAGGTCCAAAAAGAAAGTGCAGCTGTGGAAGAAAGCCGCCGTCCATTTCGCACTCTGCTTCGTCATGGGCTTCTTCACCGGGTTTGCCCCCACGGGCAAGGCCCCAGGGCTCTCTTCTCGCTCAGTCATTTCATCGAACAACTCATCGGCAGAAACCCTCCACTCCCCACCCCAACAGCATTCAAGTCGAAACCTCATCTCACAACAACAACAGCAACAACAACAACAACAACCACAACCACAACCACAACCGAGGTCAAGCTCCGGTATCCAAGACCCGTCATCACCCGATTTGAAAACAGAGGAGGAGGTGGAGGAGGTGTGATAGAAACCAACTTTCGTTCGGTTTCTATAATTAATATTATATTAGGGTAATTAGTCTTTTAGTCGTATTAGGTTATTTGTTAGGGTTTTCTGGTTCTTTTCCTATATATATGTACGTTGTTATTCGTCTATTCAATCAATAAGAAGAATATTAAGCAAATCTCCTAAACCCTAGTCTTCTCTAATCCTCTCCAATTCTCTTCTATCCCTATTATGGCCACCGGCTTTCTGTTCTTGTTCTTCCCCAATTCTATTCCTGATCCCCAAATTCTCTTCTAAATCCCTAAATCTCCATCAATTCCCAAATTCTCAACCCTATCGATAGAACCCTAGAAATAGGTTTCTATCATTTGGTATCAGAGCCCGGTTATTCACACTTCCGCTACATCACAATCCACCCGCACTACCTTCCATCCACCACTCACTAGTCCAACTCCCAAACCTAGAACACAACAATCGCACGCTCCACAAAGGGATAACTATAGACAAGGAAAAGGAATTATTATTCCTTATTTTTGTGCGCCAGCAGAGGGTTCTGGGTAGGGAATTGTTTATCATAAACAAAGGCCTTCCATAAGGCGACCTCATCTCCGCAGCAAGCTTTCGAAGTCCACCGCAACGACCGTTCGTCGACCAATGGCCACCAATACCTTTGAGGCCCTTCCGGCAGCAATGGCGTCAATTGAGGACACCCTCACTAAAGTCATCAGTCAACAGTTTGCAGAACTTCGAGTGTTGATTGCTGATCTTGCACAATCCACTGCTGCCAAGTATCAAGCCCTTGAACAGCGGGTTGAAGCACTCGAACGGCTTCCCGCTTCGACTACCACAGCAAAGGAAGTGCCAATCACCCCATCAGCTAAGCTGATCGAGATTCCCCCACCACCACCGGACAAGGAGACGCTAAAGAATGCCTTCGCGGAGGACTCTGCCACTCCGCCAGCAAACTTAACTACTACGCAGCTTGGCGGGCAACCACTTGGTGTCGGTCTCCCCTTAGTCAGCCACCTCTTGAGAAATCACACCATCCCCGACGTCAACGGCAACTCCGATGATCAAAGAAGCACCGAATCCTACACTGCGCCGCAAAGGAAGTTGACAGGTCAGGGTTTCCCAGCCGACTTCAACACTGGGCAGCGTGATGTAGGGCGTTTGAAGCTGGTACCGAACTACAGGACGCACAATCCTGGGCCGAGTTCGGTTGATTTGCCATGCAAATTGAATGGGCCACTTGAGAAGCCATATGGTTCAAGTTCAATCGGTGGTGGCTCAATCCCCTTTACCGAATCTGCACAACCAAAGTCGGCCAGACCAGTCCAGCGAGGTGAGCCAAATTCGAACCGACAATGGTTCGATCCAATGGACCGACATGAGTCGGATCACTATTCAACAAGGCGAACCAAACAAGCTAATTATCGTGTCTACCATGGCCGCGCGACGGCATTTTTAAAGCCAGGACAGGTGTATCGCGTGGAACAAAACTGGAACGATTCATATGAAGATGAACGGGAGTTTGATGATGACGGGTACTGGCCTCCGCCAAGGCACTCCGACGATCGCCACCCTCCGTCAATCAAGACAGCTTCACGACGATTCAGCCACGATGACGGGAGCGGGTTCATCGGCCGCTCGAGTTATAGAGACAAAAACGGGCGTAACTATCATACTCCTTTGGGCTCCATATATCGATAGGATTAGTAGCATTATTTTATTTGGCAACCTTGAGGGCAAGGTTGGGCTCAAGGGGGAGGGGATGATAGAAACCAACTTTCGTTCGGTTTCTATAATTAATATTATATTAGGGTAATTAGTCTTTTAGTCGTATTAGGTTATTTGTTAGGGTTTTCTGGTTCTTTTCCTATATATATGTACGTTGTTATTCGTCTATTCAATCAATAAGAAGAATATTAAGCAAATCTCCTAAACCCTAGTCTTCTCTAATCCTCTCCAATTCTCTTCTATCCCTATTCTGGCCACCGGCTTTCTGTTCTTGTTCTTCCCCAATTCTATTCCTGATCCCCAAATTCTCTTCTAAATCCCTAAATCTCCATCAATTCCCAAATTCTCAACCCTATCGATAGAACCCTAGAAATAGGTTTCTATCAAGGTGGTCACGGGGACAGCAGACCTGGGTTCCAAACTGAAACTCACCCCCAGAAGGCTAATCATCATAATCACGCCCACCAACGCTAGGGATCCGCACCAAGGGGTGCATCTCCGGCGCCTGGCGAACACGCTGAGACTGGTTCCGCCGCCACTGCTGTGGGTGGTGGTGGAGCCGTCGGCGGGGAAGAAGAAGGAGCTCTCGGAGATGCTAAGGTCGACGGGTACGATGTACAGGCATCTGGAGTACAGGGAGAATTTCACGGCGGCGGAGGCGGAGTTGGAGCACCAGCGGAATTTGGCGTTGAAGCATCTGGAGCGCCACCGGCTGAGCGGGATCGTGCATTTCGCCGGGATTCACAGTGTCTATGACCTCGACTTCTTCGACCACCTCCGGGAAACTGAGTAAGGATGAATAAATAAACCTTTTGCTTTATTTCCTATTTTCTTTTTTGATTGTTGTTTGGCTTTGTTTTCACTTTTCACGCGCTGACTGTTGACTGACAACCCACTTTAAAATTTTGAGCATTGCCGGGAGCCATGCTAATTTAATCTGTTCCCTTTAAGTATAGATATCACGTTTTTTTATTTTATTTTTAAAACGGTTTTGAAATTTTCTTCGACAATAACTCCCACAATTTCACTTTATAACGTTATATATATAATAAACGGTAAATTATATTTAATTACATAAATCTTTTACGTTTGTCACCCAAATCACTTTCTTATTCGCCACTAACTTTATGAATAATTTCATCGTTAATCACTGGCCGTTAGTCTCCGTCAAATTCCGTTAACTCCGTCAATTTTTTGATGATGTGACAAACGAAAGTGTTGACTGTACCGTTGACTAATAACATGTCAATTTTAAAAAAAAATATCCCTCATTCTCCACTGCCGCCGTCGACCACACTCCAGATCACATCTTCCTCTTGGCCCCATCTCCCATCCCTCCGACGCCGCCGAGAGCTTCCCCTGGTTTAAAGTTGTCGGCGGATCTCGCCGCTAGACTGAACCGACAAGTTATATCTCTCTCTCATTCAATTTGTTATGAAGACCTCAAAGAGGCATGATTTCAACGTAGAGAAAGGGGATTTGGTCAATGAACAGCTCTTGGACTCTTTCATATCACATATCTCCCAAAGAGATTTGGTTAACAAAATTGGGCAGGATTCATGATTTATTGATTTTTTGTGGTGAAATAACAAAGTGTATTTAGGATTGGTTGTTGAGACGTGGAATAGTGAGAAGAAGCGCATGCTGGAGTCTAGGCTAGGGCTGTCCATTTGGTTTTGGTTTTTTGGTTTTAACCGAAACCAAACCAATTGGAAAACTAATGGTTTCAGTTTTTTGGTTTTAAACCAATAAGCAACTTAATGGTTTTGGTTTGGTTAAAACCGAAAAACCAATAGAAACCATTAAGAAACCAATAAGAATGAAATTATTTATCAACAAAATTTTTTTTGTTTCTTTTGAGCCAACCAATAATTTGTAATGGCCATTTATCATTATTATGACATTAATTCAATAAAAAGAAGGGAAATATGAATAAATACGAGTGTATGAGTACATGTTGGTTTTTTGGTTAACCAAAACCATTAAGGCCCTTATTGGTTTTTGGCAACCAAAAACCAATAAGGGCCTTAATGGTTTTGGTTTTGGTTTTTGGGATTTGGTTTTTGGTTTTTGGTTTTTCATACTTAATGGTTTGGTTAACCAAACCAAACCAAACCAAATTGACAGCCCTAGTCTGGGCTTGAGGGAAGAAAAGCAGGGGTAGTCGGAAAAGTTTTCTCTCTCCTGCTTGAGGGAAGAAAACCAATGGTGCCAAATCTGTTGCTGTCGGTGAGAGGAAGAAGATTGCTGATCCAGATCAATTTCTAGAAAAACATAGCACATAGTCATTTCCATGTTCTGTCTGGGCGATTCTCCTGCCGAATAGATTTGGACGGAGAAGCACCGGTCATCGGATGGAAGAGGGAGTAGGGCTTGAAACTGGTTATGGATGGGTTTTGGGCTTGAAACCCAAAAATGCAGAGGATGTAGCTTCGAGATGAAGCGTACAAATAGAACCCACTCAGCAACGATGGAGAGCGGCGGCGGCGACCGGAAGCACAAAACCAAGCAGCAAGTACAAAAAGTTCTAACTTGGGTACTGGTGGCAAAATCGGAGCTAGGAATTAGGGTTTTTTTATTTACTTGGATAGAATCTCGGATTTGAGGTGACAAAGAGGCTGGATTCCGGCGATGGGGAATGGAAGGACTAGAATGGCTATCGGAAGGGATGTGATGTATATGGAGCTTTCTTTGTGTCGCCGACTAAGAGATGAACTGTAAATTATTTTTTAATATTTAATATTTTTAAATTGATATATCATTAAGTTAACGATCTAGTCAGCAGTCTCGTTTGCCACATCATCGAAATATTGAAGAAGTTAACGGTGTGTGACGGAGACTAACGGTCGGTGACTAACGGTGAAATGATTTGTAAAGTTAGTGACGAATAAGAAAGAAACGTAATTCGGGTGGCAAACATGAAAATTTTATGTAATTTAAGTGACTAAACATGTAATTTAGCCTATAATAAACATTACAGAGAAGAATTATCTTCAATTGAATATATGTAGCTCTATTCTAGGTGTATTGGATAGTCTTTTCTATTATTCATAAGATGTCGTTATTACACTTAAATTTGAAATAAATGGAGTTCTGAGTTCTAACCACTTAAACACACATCTTGAACGCCCTAGCAGCCTAGCACAATGTGTTTGTTTATGTCACATAAATTGAGTAATTATTTTGTGCTATAGAAACCAATTATTTAAATTTATCCAACAAACACTTTAACCTTTCGAATACCTTTTTATCGTAGAATCAGGGAGCGGATCTGCATAACCTTGTGGTCAATAACTATGTATAACCCAATTAGAATCCGCCACATCAGCGCTCATTCTCTGTCCTGAAAAGTCTTTAATTAGAATCCGTCATAAGAGCATACATATGGTATGAAAAGCGTATCATGGTGGTATGAACAAACCAAGACTATGGGATGGTTGAATACATGATAGTATAAGTATATTAACTATAAGATGTTATCGAAGGCGCTAGCGAACCGGTTGAAACTACTCTTAGACAAGATCATCTCACCGGAACATAGTGCTTTCGTCCCAGGTCGTTTCATTGCTGATAACGTAATGACTGCCTTTGAGTGCTTCCATACCATGAAGAAGAAAACAAAAAATAAGACGGGCTATCTAGCGGCCAAAACTGATATGGCTAAAGCTTATGATAGGATTGAGTAGTGGTTTTTGGAAGGGATGATGCAACGGTTGGATTTTGCAGCAAGGTGGATTAGACTGATTATGTTGTGTGTTAAGTCAGTGTCATACGCGGTTCTGGTGAATGGCCACAGATCACAGACGTTTGTACCGAGCAAGGGACTGAGGGAGGGAGACCCACTGTCTCTGTATCTTTTTCTGTTAGTAGCGGAGGGCCTGTCATGCTATACATCCCACGCCGTTAATCAGAAAAAGCTACATGGGCTTTCGGTAGCTAGGGGGCTCCGGTCATCTCACATATCTTTTTTGCTGACGAATCTATCTTCTTTGCTAGGGCGACGGAGAAGGAGAGTCGCGAGCTGAGAAGGGTGCTCGCTGACTATGAAAAGGAATCGAGCTAGCTAGTTAGTTTGGAAAAGTCGGAAGTGACCTTTGGAGCAAACGTGAAGCCGCACCAACGTTTATTGGTGAGCTCGACATTGGGAATGAGGGTGGTGGATAAACACAACAAGTACTTAGGCATGGTGACCAAGGTTGGTAGGTCTAAAAAAGAGCTCTTTGTCTACTTGAAGGACCGAGTTCGAAAGAAGCTGGCAGGGTGGAAAGAGAAGTCGATGTCAGCTACAGCAAGAGAAGTTCTGATAAAGTCGGTAGCTCAAGCTCAACTAACGCATACGATGTCTGTTTTTAAGGTTCCCGACGGGATTCTGGATGAGATACATGGGTTAATTACCCTATTTTGGTGGGGGTATAAAGGAGAAGAGAGGAAGACCCCATGGGTGGCGCGGGAGGCACTTATTTGTACGAAGGAACAAGGGGGTATGGGCTTTCGGGACCTGAGAGGTTTCAATCAGGCTTTGCTTGCGAAGCAACTTTGGCACTTGTATCAGAGACCGACGTCCTTAGTAGCACGAATCATGAAGGCGAAGTATCATAAAATGTTGACGTTCTTGAGGCTCACGTCGGCTACCGACCCAGTTATGTTTGGCGAAGTCTGATGAGTGCTCAGGAGTTCCTGGTTGATGGTCTTCGATGGAGAATCGGCAATGGCTAAGTTGTTCGCATATGGGGGGACCGATGGCTGCCCTCAACTCCAAAATAACATTATTCAGTCCCCTCCAATTGGCCTCCTGGTAGACTCAGTGGTCCGCGAATTGATTGATGAAGACGAGGAGAAGTGGGATGACACTCTCTTGGAGAGCTGCTTCCCTACTGACATGGTGCAAGCCATCAAAGAAATCCTTTACGCCATCCTGACGAACATGATCGTCTGATTTGGGTGGATAGTGTCGATGGGCAATACATGGCCAAGGGAGGATATAAGACCTGGTTGAGTAACTATCAACAGCAACGGGAATCACGAAGTGTTGGTGATCCGACTCTTTGGAAGCTACTTTGGTCGCTAAAGCTTGATATGATCCCAAACCACTTGAATTCCAAACCTCACACGATCAATCAAGAAGCTGGATCAATCACGGATAAAGAGAGGAAATTTTGGCTAAGTCATTATAGTGTTTCAAGGTACCATCTTTGGCAGCTTGCTAATCCCAAATGGCTCCATAGAAATTCAAGTTCGAGGCGTCATTTTAAACATCAAGTTATTATCTCTACGTTGATGTATTGTGGAGCTCAAGGGAAGGTCTGGAACGATGTTTTCAAAGCTCATCAAAAGGCCATCCCAAAACAGGAAAACTGCCTGAATTTGGCTAAGGCAGAAAGCTGTTCCGAGATGCCAACTTTGAAGACCTATATCTGGAGTTTGGAGTATGAGTTTGGACTGATTCCAATTGGAGGTGAAAGAGGAAGTGTTATTTTACAACGACAAGGCATTGGGTGAGATCGATTCATCCAGAAACACCATTTTCGAGGGCTTCAAAGAAGCTACCTCGCCCTGCCAGTAATCCGAGTTCTACAAGGATTCCTTTGTTCATTCGGACTAAGTTTGTAATTCAGTTTCCTTGCTTTGTTAGGTTAATTTCAGTCCTTGTTCTAGTTAGATTGTAATTGTTTAAGCCTATAAAAGGCCTCATACTCGTATTGTATTGTTCAGATTACGATTGAATGAATTTACCCAATTCCCAGACTTGAGAGTTTGTGAGTTTTGATTGGTTTTTGGTTGCGATCAAAAGCTTGCTGAGCCTTGGTTATTGGACGAGCAAACACACTCGTTCACATCGAAAGCTTCACCTTCGACTGTGCATCCTTCCAGGTGTAAGGATTCCCTGCCGAT